GAAAAAGGATTGCAGCAAGACCAAGCCCTTTTGAAGTGTTCTCTCTCTCTCACTGGGGAGCACATGTGCCTGCAGGCAATTTTAAAAAGTAAAAGAAGGGGCAATTAGGTGGTATAGTGGTTAAGGTGCTGGACTCTCACAGAGACAACCAGGGTTCAAGTCCTTGACCCAGTGGTTTGAAAAAAATCACACCAAGCGTGTGTGTGTGCATGCCCAAATCCCGAGAAGAGACTGGAGAAGAGGGGATTGTGGCATGGCCATTTCCCCCAGGAGTGATTTCTCACTTTCCCTGTCTTTGACTCTCCAGGGAGCACATATGCCCTATGGCAAAAAACTTTAAAAAAAAAAAAAAAAAAAAAGAGAGAGAGAGAGAGAGACAGTTGATGGATGACCAACGCTTTTCACTTTGAAGTTCTTTTTCATGTTGTTTTGATCCAATCTCCAGAAATAAGTTCTTGCCCTGACAGGGCTTCCATGCATCCCTGCTCTTTCAGTGCCCCTCACCCAAAGCAGCTCTGCCCATGTGAGGACATCAGTTGGGGTCTCATTCCACTGCTACAGTAAACTGCTAGTTACCAGCAGGAACGTTTTACATCTCTAACTTCTCATATTTTCATTGTAGAAACTGCCACAGCATTAGGAGCAATCTGTGTCCTGCACCAGGTGCTAAGGCCACAGCTGTCCCCTTGCCCTACCAAAACTCCCCCTGGAGCAGGAAGGTGCAGCATTCCAGTTCCAGGCCTTGGGCTGGAATCAGGGAGGAGACGGGACAGAGCGGTGTGACACACACCTAGATTTGCTTGAGGAACTAGTCACTTAGGCACTTCACTGCTCTCCTCTCTCTGCTCCCCTGACCCCCATCCCTTCAGGAGGACGCCTTTAGAACAGGTCAACAGCAGCTTGCTAAGACGGTATGGATTCTACTCAGTCAGCAGCTTTGAGCTGTGCAGAACGTGCAGTGGCATGGCCCAGTGTTCACACCTACAAAAGGAATACCCTGTGCTCCTCTGAAGAAACCACTGTAGGAACAGAGAGCCAAAGTCCTAACCATCAGTCTCTTTCACAGCATGAACTGGGCAGCTGGTAACCTGCAGTCTTTCCTTTCAGCTTCTCAGATTAGATCTCAAATGCAATTTAATTCCAGACTCCAATATACACTTCCTGACTTATACGCTAAAAGAACCAGTTACGAAATAAGACCACATTACCACTGATTACACACTTGCCATAGACAGCAGGCGAAATCAGGTACAATCTAAAACTGCTCAAACTGTACCACGATTGAAATATATTAAAGCGACTACAGCATAAAGGAATCCCATAACATTTCTCTGCCATGTAAGAAATCCTCTTAGAGAGACCAGCAGTTGGTGTAATGGCTATGTCACTGGACCCCCATGTAATGGACCATGGTTCAAGTCCCAGACCCAGTGGCTTAAACTCACACGGGGTGTGTGTGCATGCATGCCCAAGATCCCAAGAGGAGAATGAAGGAGAAGGGATTGTGGCATGGCCATCCCCCCTGGGGTGATTTCTCACTTTCTCTCTCTCTCTCTCTCTCTTTCAAAAAAAAAAAAAAAAAAAAAACCTCTCCCCTAAAAAATAATTTTAAAAAAAAAGAAATTCTCTTAGAAAACAATAAGCACCCCTCAGCTTATCTTCTCAAATAAATATGGATTTTCATATAACTGGCTTGCTTAAGAAAGTCTATATTCAAATTTTTAAAAAATAAAAGATACTCAAAATGAAAATTCAGAATGTGTTATGAATACCAAGAAAATAGAAGTGTAAAAGAAGTAAGCTTCAAATGCAAAGTGAAATCATGATATATAGACAGGCATAGTGGAGAATTCCTTGAGGTTGGGTTAATGTTACAATGACAGGGAGAATGAACCGCAGAAGTAAGGCAAGTAGAGAAGGCAGAAGAGTCATATTTAGGATGAAATAAGTGCTGTCCAAGCACACATTTAGGCCTGGACTGAGGTACTGAGCCCTGTGCCTGCTGACCCCACTTCTGCCCTCTAGTCTCCTCTAATGGCTGAAGAATGGCTCCTGCCCAGAGCCATGCTGCAGACATCCATACAGCAGACTGCCATGTAGCAGACTGCCATGCAGCAGACAGCCATGCAGCAGACTGCCATGCAGCAGACAGCCATGCAGCAGACTGTCATGCAGCAGACAGCCATGTAGCAGACAGCCATGCAGCAGACAGCCATGTAGCAGACAGCCATGTAGCAGACAGCCATGCAGCAGACAGCCATGCAGCAGATAGCCATGCAGCAGACTGCCATGCAGCAGACAGCCATGCAGCGTGAACTGAGGGTCTGCCTCAGCTTGTTTTGGCATCTCAGTGTCCCTCTGTCATTGAGTTAACAAGTGATGATGCTTACAACGTTCTCAAGAAACCATCAGTCAAGTGCACGTCATCCTACCAATATAAGTTAAAAGCTCATTTTCTATTTAATCACACGTTCTCAAGGGCTTTTGATCAGCTCTTCCCTGACCTGTGAGCCTGAGGTCTAAATCTGCCAGCAAATCCCACCTTTCCCAGCTCTTGGAATTGTTGGGATATTATCTCTGGTTTTTTTTTTTTTTTTTTTTTTTTTTTTTTTTTTTCTTTGGGCAAAAAAACCAGACAGACAGAGAGAGACATAGAGACAGAAAGCGAGAAATCACCCCCCAGGGGGGATGGTCACGTCACAATCCCTTCTCCTCCATTCTCCTCTCGGGATCTTGGGCACGCACGCACACAGGCCCGGCGTGAGTTTTAAGCCACCGGGTCCGGGACGCGAACCACGGTCGACTACATGGGAGTCCAGCGACATAGCCATTACGCTAACTGCTAGTTCCTGATATTATCTCTGAAAGAATGCAAAATAGGCTCCTTGTTCTTCTATTCCTTTCAATGGGTTTCTAATATGAAATATTAATAGTAAGGAATAAGGCATATTCATTCTTTTTGCTATTCCAGATTACCATCTCCGGCTGTATATTTTTCTTTTTCGGTTTTGGAAATTGAAAAAATAAAATTTAGGGTTAAATTTGACCCCAAATTTATTTTGGCCTAACATAGGGAAACAAACATGCCTTTAAAAATACCCAACTCAAAGTAGAACCTAGTAGCCTAGAGCACAGCAGGCTCTTTGTAAAGCACTTCCCCTTTTCCTTTCTTTCTTTGTTTTGTTTTTCTTTTGTTTTGTTCTTCAGTCCCATTTGATCTTAACAGGAAGATATTAAAACCTTCTTTTTCCATATTTTTTCCATTATATCTGTACCAGCAGATCCTTGATTTATTCATGAAGGGGCAGGAGGACATAGATACATTATGTCCCGGGAACCCCAAACCATGACAGGCTATGAGCTTTGAATTGTTGGAGTCCAGGTAAGACGGGCTTTCCACAGTTGTTCCCAGAATGGAGAACAGCTGAGGTGACCCCATGTACAAGAGAACACTACCCTGGCCTGCCGTAACCACCTCAAGCTGAGCTCCACGGCTCAAATAAAGAGGAGGTGAAATTTATGGGAGGAGGGAGGAATTCCCTTTCAATATTCTCAGGGGAGGCTCTGAAATGTAGAAGTAGAAGCCGGAAATGGAGCTTGAACACAGGAGCATGTCTCATGCTTCTCTCCAGGCAAGGCTTGGTTGATCTTCAGACTAGGATGGCTGCTGCCCAGAGAGGTGGGTGAGGAAATGGCAGACGTCTGCTGATCAGGGTGAGACTTTCAGTGATACAATGAGTAAGCTCTGGGCATGTACTCTACAGCGCACGTGAGGAGGGAAGTGTTCATTACGTTCATCGTGATAACCAGTACACAATGCATATGTATATCAGATCATGTGTTACACCCTGAATATGCACAACCTATATTTGTTAGTTACATATTTTAAAGTAAAAATGAAAGATTTTATCTTCATTCTCTCATTTCACAGTGCCCACCGGCCTCTATGTCCCAGGTAGTGTCAAAGGGATACACAGAGGAACGATGTGACTTTCCTCTGTTCCCTGGGGGTGGACGCTCTTAGTCATATCCAGACAAGTCAGTGTGCACTCCAGCTCACTGTGTAAAAGCAGATTTCACTGCCTTTGCACTCAGTGTGGACAAAGAGCGCTTGATGAACACGTCTCTCCAGCTGTTGCTGCTGAGTTTGCTATTGTGAGAACAGGGAATGAATGCTGAGAAAAGGGACCCCTTGAAAGCCTTCACTCCAGTTCCAGTTTCCAACTGAAATATGGCATCAAGTGAAGAAAAACCTGAAACCATCAGAACTTGTAGGGTCGATGCCCAGGTCTAAGATCCTCTTTCCAGTGGCACAGTGTGGTTTGGAAGTGCAATCCCCTCAGCGCCACTGCTTTTTACACCAGCATAGCATTTTCTGCAATCAATCCCACAAAGCAAATTAAAACACACTTTCTACAGGTGAAAGAGAGACTGTCAGGAATAATTGCAAGCCACTGACCCTTGTGTTTATGGATGTACACACAGGAAATCAAGTCATATTAATAATCCTTCTAATTAAAAGTATAATGGCTCCTTTGAAATGCCATTTATTAGTAAAATGAAATTTGCTGATGTAGCATTTTAAAGGTTTTTGTTTTTGTTTTGTTTCATTTGTTAGTTTTATTAATGCCCAAAGACCTTCCAGGAGATTAAGAGAGAAATTTTTTGTCCTCTGTAAGAGAGGGTCTTGGGTATGAAGGTAGAAGACTGTGAGGGAGAATTGTACATTTAATTGTATAGGTTGTTTTGCTCTAAAACTGAGAGTACTAAATTATAATGCACAAAAGAATACCTTTTACCATTGAAACCATACAACTCAGCTGCTAGCAAGATGGAGTTGACACACGGAGTTTCCCTTCTGATGCTAGTTTCCCTGTTGCTAACTGTGATGAACACACTGGAGTAGGTGTGCGAAGAGCCTGCCGGAGTAGAAATGGGGGAGCTGCCGGGTGCCAGGTAGGCACACCCTGAACGGCGCCCCCTGGCGGAAGCACACCCACCTGCCAAACCAGGTGCTCCTTGGCTCCTGGAGACGCAGACAGGCAGACGCTCAGCACGATGGTGTGGGAAGAGGAGGTGAGGACGCTGGCGATGATGGCATCTCGCATGTTGAAGGGCAGCATAGTGTACACCACGAAGATGATAAAGAGGAAGAATGAGACCTGCGGGTGGGCGGGAAGGAAGCACACGGAGAATCACTGAGTGTGTACTGTAGCACATCCCATTCCCTCTCACTAAGGCCCGCCAGAAACAACTCAAGATGTGTTCATTTCAAAACTCCTATCAGGACAAAATAGAAGATTACATTCAAATAAATCCACTGGATTAAAGACTAATTATTGTGATGGAGAAAAATAATCTTTTCAAAAATTTTGAGATTTCAGGTTTTGATAACCAAACCAATACAGATATTAGGTTAACCTGATCCATCTGTGGATTGAATACTTTAAACCAACAGGGTTTGCATCTGTGTTTAGAGCACACACCATGGATTCCTGAAGATCTATCAGGCTCCATCCTGAGACCCAGAGCGGGGACAGGTGTGGCTGGGGAGTCAGTGGGAACAAATGCAGAGAGCCTGTACATACTAAACTAACAGCTCACAGATACTTAGCTGCTGTGCAACAGTCCAACAGTTCCTCAAAAAGTTAAGTATAAAATAACCAAGTGACCCAACAATTCTACCCTTGGACATATACCCTGGAGAACTGAAAACATGTACTCCAACAAATACATGTACACACACGTACATAGAGACATTTTCATAGTAGTAACAGGTGGAAACGCACATGCCCATTGAGGGATGAGTGGCTAAGCAGCACGTGGAATATCCAGACGGTGGGATATTACCATGTAAGAGGGGAGTACAGCACTGATGCTACAATGTGGACGAACCTCAAACACATCATGCAAAGTGAACAAAACTTGGACAAAAGACTCCATATTGCAGGATTCCACTTATATGAAATATCCAGAATAATAAATCCAGGGAGACAGAAAGCAGACTGGAGGTTGCCAGGAGCTGGGAGGAGAGGACCAGGTGGGAAATGAGAATTGCATAGGTACATGGTTCCCATCTAGTTGATGGAAAATGTCTCAGAACTCGACAGAGGTGTTGGTTGCACCTGTTGGTTGGGAATAAACTAAATGCCACTAAATTCACTTTAAAATGGCAAATTTATTTTTATTATATTTACCTCAATTTAAAATAATCAGTATGAAACCACTTAAAGTTTGAAATTGAAAAGAAAATGATTAAGCAGGTAATAAAACAGATTGTTTTTATTATAAAAGATGCAGCAATGGAAGAATATCAGAAAATTTGCAAAGAATTATGTATTTTATTGTTATTATTTTATTATTTATTTTTTATTATTTATTTTAATTTTATTTATTATTTTTTAATTTGCTATAGAGCATGTGTGCTCATCAGATAAAGACTGGTGAGAGGTTCCAGAGAGAGAGAGAGAGACAGGTAAAACAAGCCACCAGGTCTGGGCCTCAAACCGGAGCTGGCCATGTGGGAGTACAGTGCACTAACCATTATGCAATCTGCTGGCCCTAAGATGATTCTTTGTTTAAAGGTTATAAATCCAGTGGAAAAAGCACTGAGTCAGGGAACTAGGAGAAGTGGCAAGTGTTTGGCTTCACCGTGCAGTTCTTACTCCAAATCGAAAGTGAAAAGAGTTTGCCTTGGGACCAGCAGTTAGCGTAATGGCTATGTCGCTGGATTCCCACGTAGTCGACTGCGGTTTGCGTACCGGACCTGGTGGCTTACAACTCACGCCAGGCGCGTGTGCGTGCGTGCCCAAGATCCAGAGAGGAGAATGGAGGAGAAGGGATTGCGGCGTGGCCATCCCCGATGGGGGGTGATTTCTTGCTTTCTGTGTCTCTGTCTCTCTCTGTCTGTCTGGCGAGCGCACATGCCCTATAGCGAAAAACCTCTCCAAAATAAATAAATAAATAAAAGAGTTTGCCTTACTTTCCCAGCATGCCCCAGGCTACTCAAAGGGTAGGCTCACCACAGCTGATGACGTGGAGCAGTCCTGCCAGCTACTGTGCCCAAAGTCTGAATGTGAGATGATAAGAAGGACCCAGGCAAAAGGCTCCGCTCCCCACAATTCCAGCGGAGAAAAGCCTCCTACACTGGCACGGAAGTCTGCAGGGCATACTACGACCTCAACATGACTGTGACCAAGCACTCTTCAAGGGTGGCATCTTAGACGCTGGACTTGTGTGACTATCACCAACAAAAGAGCACATGGAAGATTAAGGGAATCTAAACTAAAAATAGACTCGGATTTCCCCAAATGTGCCTTGCATTTCCTTCAGAGCATCGCAACGAGAACACTCATTCATCTAACAAACACACGAGCTCCTCCAAGGAGGCAGCATGGTTCCAGAGGTGGAGGTGGAGGTGGAGGCAGAATCCTGGCTCTTAGGGATGTCGCAGCCCAGTGGAAGAGACTGTCAAGGATGCCAGCCTTCACTTTGCCGTTTGCATATCTTCCCCCTGCAAGCAGAGGTTGGGTGGGCCCTGAACCATATTCCCTAATTTCTGCAGGGGTAGCCGCCTCCAAATGACAGCCAAAGAGGAACCCACCGTGAGTGGGAGAGGCGAGCAGGAGCCTCCTCAGGAAGCCTGATTCTGCAGGGACCATCTGCTCATACCCCCGTCTCCTCCCATTCAAGCCATATTTAGAAGGGCCCTCAGGCCAGAAAATGTGGGTGAACAGATCACCATAGCAATATTTTTTTTTCTGGTAAATATTTTTTCTTCCACTTCTTTAAAAATACAAGATGTTTTTCAGTGAAGCATTCTTATCTAGCATGCATGCATCCCACTCGTCCCATTCCATATATGAACTTGTAACTAAGGCCAGGAACCTTCCATAGTTTATGTATCAGAATGCACAGTGGAGAGGGAAAGACACAGGCATCTTTCTGAAGGGATTCTTGAGTAGTGAGCGGTGACTGACCCACCCTCGTCCCAGGAGATAGTATAGAGAGTGAGCTCTCAGAACCCAAAGTCATATCCAGAACCACTAAGGACGAGCACCAGCACTTGCTGAGTGCCCAGTGTGGATCCAGATCCCATCTTGGGCTTCCAAAGGCTGTTTCACAGGAACCACTGCGCTATAAGAAAGGCTTTTTTAAAAAAACAAACACAAACAAAAACCATTTTTGTACAGTCTTGGCTTACTAAGAAAATTCAACTTATTGGAATCATCCCATTTACAGGAAATATTTTCAATTAAGGTTTTTTTCTTTTACCTATAGCATATTTTTAATGTTAGAATTGACAATCAGCTACAAAAGAGAACTTTTCTAAGTGCATGTTCCTTAGGAAATACAAAAACCTTTAGCATTTCTTTGAAATGATCATAACTTTTGAATAGCTTAATTATGGACAGCTTTAAAATTCTAACATTATTTCCTTTAATATATGTTTCTGCAAACATTTTGAGCTTCGAAATGGAGACATGTGGAATAACCAAATAAGAAATACACTTTAAGTTTTCCAAATGCTGTAACTCCTGTTAAGAATTTGTTTTTATGGGCAGCAAGTTAAGGAGCCAGATCTCACATGGCTAACTGCAGTTTGAGTCCCAGACATGTGGCTTAAAATATACACCAGGCACGTGTGTGTGCATCCCCCAAATCCCAAGAGTATATTGGAGGAGAAGGGACTGTGGTGTGGCCATCTCCCCTAGTGAGGATACTTTCTCACTTTCTCTCTCTCTCTCTCTCTCTCTCTCTCTTTTCTCCAGTGAGTACATGAACATTAAATAAATAAATAAAAAGGAAGAAAAAATGTCTGGGTTAAAAGCTTCAAAATGTTGAATGCAATCTCTTAAATTCCCATGGGTACTAAGGGGACATTCCCATGGCTAACATCCCCCTTAGTCACACGTCTTTGTCCATTGATCCAAGCACCGCAACCCCGCACAGAAACTGCATACTTGTAGTGCAGCGTTCATTCCACTGAAACCACTTCAAGTGCATCCCTAGTGCCAGACTTGTGTTTGCTTTTTTGCAAGATGTACCCATCTCCCCACGGGTCTCCTACCTGAACCTCAAGTTTAAACCAGCTAAGACTTTTTTTATGCACCTGCTCCTCTTACAGGATAGCTCAATGAGCCAGGTGCAAATCCTCAAGAGGCACCTTTGACAACACCCTCCTTTCCATCCACACTCAAAATCTATGTCTTCTGACTCTGGGACTCCAGACTGCAGCACCTCTATCTGCTCCTCTCTCTTCTCACCCCTATTGCACTGGCTCACTGCCTTTCCATTAGCTGAGAAACATGCTTCGATAATCTATCTCCCTCTTCTCCCCATCTCCCAACTGGGAAGCCAGTGTGTCCCTCCCCTGTGCTGTCCACCCAGTTCCTTTCTCCATGCTTTGAGTGACCAGAAGGACTCCTTACCAACTCTCTGGAGCTTTCCTCCTTCAGGGCACACGGTACAATCATATCTCCCTGTTTTCTTTTCAGTCAGGTGAGGGGATACACCTACTTTGGCAAATAAAGTGTGGCATGTGTCCTTTCTGGGTGGAACCTGAGAGCCAGTGCACAATGTGCCATATCTGCTGGATGTCACAGGACACAGAGCTGGAGCTTCTCCCAGTCTAGTTCCTCGGAGGAGGAGCAGAGGCCCTTAAGGGGCCCACACAGACCTGCGGCCATGTGAGAGGTGGACACACTTTTGTGGCATTAAGGCCCTGAATCCCTGAGAACAGCTTAGCTGACCCTGAATGACACTCAGTTTCCAAACACTCACACTCCCACAGGAGGTTTTGCCTTCATGATGTTTGTAAGAATTGAGTGATATCATGTGCAATTCTCTGCAGTTTTCTTTTCTCACTGAACTATACCTTGTGGGCATCTTTCTAAGTCTACACAAGGATATATTACCTGCTCATCTACTAGCTGCAAAATACAGAAGGGGGTACCATACCTTACTCTCGTATTTACTCACTGAGGGGCACTTGCGGCATGATGTGTCCGTGGGTCCCCTGTCTAACCACTGCAATGACACTCTCGCCATCTCCCTCGCTCCAGCACTCTCCGACCCAGCCATGCTGCTTCCAGATTCACGGCTCTCAGGGTTAAAGTCCAATGCCTTTACTTTGTATGAAAACTACCTTTGGCCACCTGTC